AGTAGAGTTTGGGTTTTTGGTTGGAGGAGGCCCACTCTTATAACTAGCATGATCCCTCTTGCCCAGTCTTGTACAAATGATATGATGATGATATCAGGTTTGCCTGGGTGTTACAAATACAAATTAATAGTACCATAACAACTGTGGGAAATGCAATATGTTAACAGCATAGGTTTTCTGACATTGCCTTTCCTGAAGCATTGAAATGCCTTAAAAAAAGATGTGTTCACCAATTCACCCTTTAGTGAAATACTAGTTACTTCCTTTTATTTTTCTCTTGGAGTTACATTCATTTTAGGTATATGTTCAATTTGTGCAGTAGTTTTCTTTAAATTAGATCTAGAAATGGTTATGTTTTGAGAAAGGCCTACTCAGCCTTCTTGAAATTATACTGATACATTTGTAGAAAAACATTGAACTTCTTTAAAGAGGAGTATGAATTACTGTCCAAACTACATGTCAAATAATTTCTCAGATTCTAAACCAGTCATGTCCTCCCTCATAGTTGGCACAGGTTCTGAGGCCAATTTCTCTCTGGTAAATTTAGCCTCTTTGGAAATATCTTCCAGAAAGTGACCATCATGTGTGCATTTAGGTTCAAACTCTGTTCTTCATTTTGGAGCTGTTATCTATGGGATGTTGAGGAATCCATGTCCCTGGGCCATAGAAATGGCCAGAGTCTTACGTGATATTTGCCCCAGGAGTCCTCAGCTAGCATGGACTTAAGGAAAACATGTACATTCCATCAGTCATTACTAGTCTGGCAGGCTTCCTAAACAAATTCCCTATGTTGCTTTAGGTCCATCATAGAAAATCAGCCACGGTGATCAGACATACATTAAGCCCATAGACAAAAGGTAACATGTCAAAGGATTCACTTCGTGATTTATTCAATTCTTATAATAATCCCTCATTTTAACGCTAAGAACACAGAGTCAGAAACTTTCCCAAGACCGTACAACCCACAAAGCTGGAGCTGAATTTCTAAACAGGGCAGATGGACCAGGGATCACGCCTTTAATCATAAATTACCACAAGGGGGCGGGCTGCACCCATTCACTCATTCACCTCAGTTTAAAGGTGGTAAACTTTAATTTCACATATTGAGGGTTATGAGTGGGACACTGTTGTAGTCAGGGGTTACACAGAGAACAATTGCATTCAGGACATAGAATTTATAATATTTTTATGGTGGTCACCCAGAATTAAATACAAGAAAGTGCAGGAAATCTGTCCACAACACTAAAGATCTAGAAAATCCATCTCAAGGCCTGGATACCACATGAGTCCAGTTGAAAACCTAGAGCCCATGACAGTGCCTCTCACAAGTCCAACTGGAGGTCTAGAGCCCACAACAATGACTTATGCAAGTCTGTTTCATAGGTCTGCTCTGGGAAGCCCTATAGATCACTGGTGGAAGCTAGAAAGTCTTTGCCAGCATGGAGAAGGAGTTGTGCTAGGAGCTTGAGGGTTCTACATGGGAGCCAAGAAAAAACACTCAGAATAAGGACAAGGGCTCCCTTGAAAAGAGCCACAGCTATTCTCAGTGACAATGAAGTCCTGAGCTCTTCTAACAATGAGAACAGTCAAGTACATATCAGTAACACAGTGTGACAAGCTTCTCTGGAAGATTAAACAGCAAACACCTTCCCCTCTGGAGCCAGGAAGTGATGCTCAGTGTAAGCATCAGAGCTTCCCTAAAGTGAACCACAGGAAAAAGGTCCAGGGCTCCTCCTCTGATGATAATGGCTGAATTCCTATCAGGGAAATCAGCCATGACAAGATCCTCCAGAAGAACCAATGGCTCCAGACAGCAACACTTAGGAGAACCCACAATGCCGCACTCTTCTCCGTATCTCTTTTTATGCTGGCAACTTTCCTCAGGCAAGCCATCTATGCTCAGCACCATGGTGATTTAATTCAGCTGGTGTTAAGTTGACCAGTTTTTAATCCATAACAGGTACAATTCATAATCCATTCCCCATTCTCTTTTTGTCCCAGTCTCAGGCCAGCTTTAATACTGAAAAGGTTCAGATCAATGTAAAAGTGTCTACAAGTGCCGGTCATTTAAACTCCAGGTGTAACATACAAAGCACCCAAAGGAAGCTACAATGTTATGAAGAGACAGTGAACCGTAACGAGGAACTATATTTTCTTTCCTTGGACAGTAAGAGAAAGGACTGATTTTAATGAAAACTAACACAAGGTTGAAGCTTCAGTTACCAAAGATGCTGTGTTAAACAGCTCATTTAATGCACATGGTCAGAACATAAACAGAAATTCCTTTCAGACCTGTGGATCTTTTAAGCCTATATTAGAGTTTAAAGTAAAGCTCAGAAAATTCATCAGCTCTTTTTCTTCTTTTCATGTCATCTGACAAATAGTCAAAGTGATGAAGCAATTGTGATAGTGTCATAGGACAGTGCTCCATATGTAATGTTGACAAGTGATAGCTAGGACTTACAGAGCTGAAAATTCCTCTCCAAGCCCTGACACATCTAGTCTGGTGTATAATGAGGCTGGGCCCCATTTAAAAGGACATCCTTGGGCAGGATGATCAGGATGAATAATAGATGTTCTATATATTAAAAAAAAAAAAAAAAAAAAAAACTTCCTCTACCTGAGAGTATCAATACCGTTTAACATCTGCTATATAAAACATGAGAACAGTGACAACCACATCAACAAGCTCAGCAACACAGAGGCCTGGCAATAATTCCTGCGGCTGAAGGAGGTGAGGCAACCCCTTCACAGAATTCTATCCGGTTGTGCCCTGCAGGATGGGGTACCAGGCCAGACACTCTGAAGATGGTGGAACCAGGCCCTGAGTCATCAGCAGAAAGAATATGTGGCCAAAGACTCCAGAAGAGGAAGGAAAATGAGAAGTGAAAATAGGAATCAGGAAATCTGGAGGGTCCAGATGTGGCTCAAGGGAGAAGACAGGATGAAGGTCAGTGCACAATGTTGCACCATATCAGTAACAGAGCTTGGAAATGCATTATATTGAATTTCCTTGACAGCTGTAATTTGCTGGTTTAAACCTAGTAAACATCTGGGAAGCCAGAGCCCCCTCCCAACCTAATCCAGGAACTGCTGGAGTCATTTTTTGTGACTCTGCAAAAGACAAGATCAGAGATACCAAAAAAGATAATGTGGACATTTGTAAAAACTCTCCAATTGGTTGTGACAGGCAACCAAGATAGAAGAAATGTCCTACGCCACTTTAAGCTAACACTTTATTAATAGAATGAGCTAAAACAAGACTTAAAAAGGGCAGAAAGCAAGGAGCAAGGGATAGATGGGGGAAAGAAAACTGCTCAAAAGGTTGAAGTGAATGTGTAAGTGAGGACAGAGCTGTAAAGAATCATTTTAGATGTTGGTATAGCTTGGATATGGAAGGTTACCCATAGGCCCAAGTGTTAAAATTCTTGGTCCCAGTTTGGTGCTCTTGGGAGATGGTGGAGCCATTAAGAAGAGGTGTAATCTAGTGGAGGTCATTAGGTCATGAGGTCTTGCCCTTGAAGGGAACTTGGATGTCTCAGCTCCTCCTCTATGATTTTGTTTGCTTTCTGGCCATGTGGTGAGGAGGTCTGCTTCATAATAAGAACTCCTGCCATAGGATGCATCTTCCCCACTCATCATCCACCTGCTCCCCACCAAAGGCCAAAAAGCAATGAGTCTTCTTGACCATGAGCAGCAGTTTCCACAACTGTGAGCCAAAACTTTCTTTTCATAAGCTGATGATCTCAGGTGCTCGTTATAGTGATGGAAAGCAAATCAGGTGTAATTTCCAGATTTTTAAATAGTAAACCAAAAGAAAATCTTGCAACATCTTGCTAAAGAAGATTGTCAGTGCACTCAGGTTTTTAGCAATGAAGTGAAATTTGTGAGTAATCGTAGTCTCGATGCCTAGGCATATGGAGGAGCATTTTTCTCAGTGTCAGCTATGAGCACATGGGGCTGCACCACACAGGCGAGCTCATATATCACTAGAAAATCACACACCTACACTTGGATTTCATTGTGAAATATATTTCTGACACTTCTCTTGTCTATTCACCCACCCCTACTTTTCCAAACTACTTACTTAAGGAAGATAATAGCTATGATAGGACAACCGTTTTTCCTAAGTAAGCATATACTTATGACAGCTGGGAAAAAAGGCATCACTGATTTAAAAAAAAAAAAAAAAACTTTTCTGGCAATCCTCCCAGAAGACTTGAGAGTTGTTTATGGTATAATTGTTAACAAAAAGAAAAAGATTATCTTTGTAAGGAAATTGGCTTCTAACATAGTTCACAAGAACAGGTATCTTTAACTACACGATTAGCTTAGGTCTAGGTCTTCATCCCGCCAAATAGCATTTCTCTTTTTTTTTGAACAGTGGAGACTTCAGTCTTTTCACTCCACCTGCGTCTTTCCCAGAAAATATTCTGAGGTCTTACCTGCTTTGCTAACTATCCACATCATTGTAGACATGGCTTTTCTGCTAGTCACTTTTTTTGAAAGAAAATGAAGCAACACAGTAAGCTGTATTTGTTTTTCCATAAAATAAATGGATACTACAGTCAAGTGTTGTTTTTAATTTCACAGGGCATGAACCTAGTGTGCTGAATCAGGACACACACTGCATAGATACTTGAGATGAGCACTTTACTAATAGCATAAAGCTAACTATTCATTGGCTTAATGGCCAAATCCATCAGAAGGGAAAAACAAAACAAAACAAAACAAACAAACAAACAAACAAAAAAAAAAAACGCTTGACTTTTCTAGATAGATGCCCATTGTCTAAATGGAGCTTAGCTCTTAAGTTGTTTTTCTTTTTTGAATTTCAAGTTTTTACATTAGAATTTACATAGTGAAATTTCACCATTATGATAATTCTAGTTCTGACATCTGTAGGCACACAAGGTGCAGTGATATGAACCCATTCGGTAATATTTCATAGATTTCACAAATAATTAAGAGAAATAAATTTTCACCACAAAATTAAAATATTTAATGACAAAATTAAAGTTTACTGTAGTAGTAAATCAACAAAGCAGGTGTTACGGGTCTCTGAATAAACAATGATTATGTTTGACATCTTAGAGAAGATCTGAAGAATTGATAACTACAACAGACATTAGCAGTTTTACAATTCTGAAAATTACAAGTGAAACCTATCTTTAATATCCCTTATTTACAGCATTCTTTAAATACTTTTACATAAATGCACAATGTCTCTTAGCCACAATAGTATTAAGACAGATTTCACTATAATTTTAAGTCTAACACATAATTTTTGCAGAGCTTAAAAAATGTTAACTACTGATCTTGTTACATTTTACAGATACATTCTTTAAAATGAAATAGTATCCTGAATAACTGCTTACTTCCAGTACACAGATGCCTAATAATACTAGTGAAGAATACTATACCTATGTTCCAGGGAGTGGTGATAACACTACAAAGATTCTTTTCTTTATTGTATTGCAATACAATTTAAGAACACTTTCACAAAAATTTCATAGCGAAGTGCAGAGATAAAACAAAAATTTAACATCCTCTAGCAGGCTCAACCAAATGTGTTGGTCCCAAATGATCTGAATCATTTTAGCAATTTTCTCTAGGTTAGGTTGTATCAATATTTGTATTGCAGCACCTTCTACAAAAGGATAGCAAAGACCTTGTCACAGGGTTCCTCAAAAGAGGCTAGAAGATGAAGACAAATAGGAATTGCTGTCATGGCCTCTGTTTGGAGGGAAGTAGTATTCTGACAGGATCACTGACTGGAAGCTAATTAACAGAAGAAGCTAACAATGAGTCAGATGTGTTTTCTTGCAATTCAGGATATTTCCAATAAGATTCATGTCTAAAAGGACAGAGTGAGGAAAGAGGGTAAGATATGGAATACTAACCTTTATGAAAAGTACATATTAGAATTCTACCAGGGAGGAAGAATCTCAGACTTAACAGTATGCTTATGATTTTATCCTCTGCTACTTTAGAAAAAACTTCCCAAACACTGTTGTTAGGTAGTTGGCAACCAATTTTATTCTTGAGCTTGGCCAACTGTCAGGTGGTTATAGATTTACTCTTTAAATTATTTATACCACCTATCTATCTCAGGAATCAGAATTTAATTTGAGAAGATATCTGTAGCTGCATCTGTGTGCATGTGTGTGTTTTCTGAACTGAAATCTGCTATCAAAACCTAGTTAGAGTGATATTTTGGAATTTTCTTGGAAATTATAAATGCTTCTAATAGCACGCATTAAATGGCATGTTCCACACTTCTTCAAACTTTTAAGAGACCAAAAGAAAAGTGAAAATATTATACAAACTTTCATAGCCAACTGCATAAATTTTATAGATTTTTCTTGAATTGGATCATCTCTAAGAGGATTAAGAAATTTGCCTTCTGTAAATCCATTTCCCTTTTGACATGTACTTCCTATGACTTTTATTTTCCAACAGACAAATTTCTATCTCCCAAGGAATGCTTTATCAGGAGAAGTTAAGCTATTTAAATCAGGATTAATAATCCAAAAGTCACCTTGTTCTGCTATATAAGAGACCACAATACACATAAACTTCCCTGGCTCAGTGGACGGGGCGGGTCCCACAGACTCACGAAGCTTAAAACTCAATGCACTGCCATGAGAGACGAACAGTGCGCCTGAGATGGGCGGCTTTGCCTCCCTGTTTCATGAGAAACAAGCACAGCTTGTTATGTTGATCCCTGTACCTTTTTGGAAACAAAACTTCCAGACTGAAAATACAGCAGCACCTTGAGCAACAAACAAACAAAAAGTGTATGATCAACTCTATTCAGTACGGCAGCAATGTAAAGGCTTTATGACAAAACTCATGGGTCAGTTAAGCAAGCTGCAATTGCCATCCTATACAATTTGTCAAGAAACAAACATGTTGAATTGCATTTAATAGATGGTAAGAACAAAATTCAAATCATCAAAAGCCAGATACTGAAAAACTGATGGCTCTCCCTCAAGGCCCTTTCTAAATGTTTTGTAAAAACAAAAGAAAAAAGGTTTAAAGGTAGTGTCTTTCCACGTTATCTTTTACATAGATACTTTATCTGGGCAAATAACATTTTGATAAAATCCCAAGCTCATTCCAATGCCAGTTATGGTAATTTGGGATGACAAAAGACAAACATCCTTGAGACACAAGGTTTTAAAGTAGGCTTTTCTTTGAGTCTTAACTCTCAAACTTTTATCCTGTTTATCCTTCACATGATAATTCCAAATTATTAGCCTGGAAAGAAATAACAGTAGTGGTTAAGTTGTAGCTCAGAAAGTAGATTTCTATTTGTGATTGTGATTTGTTTTTTGAACACTGGTAATAGTTCATGCAAAAGATTAATGTGCAAAAAGTAAAATCTATGTCTGCTATTTCCAGTGATAAATCCAAGTGTTTTTCATAATACAGACTTAAATCACAGGATACAGAGATTCTAATTTTACTTTTCAACTTAAGAGTTCTAGGAGTGTGAGTGAAGAAAATTGCTATTTGACTTTTATTTTTATCTGGGAATAATAATGTCTGATGTCACCACATTGAAATTTCTTTTTGCTTAATATCAGGGAGGAAGAAATACATATTGCCAGTTTAGACCCAGCACAGTTTATCATTTGGCCCAAATTGTATATCCAAACTTCAAAATGTTTCTTCTTGAAAAGTAAAACATTCAAATATACCCCCACACACGTAAAAAAGTTAACACAAAGCTGATCTTATTGTTGCATTTTTTTAAAGCAAGATTATTAGGGAAATGTATAACCACAACACCTTTTCATCTACATTAACACCTGGAAATAAAAAACAAAACAAAATAAAACAAAAAACCCCTAAGTGTCCATATTGGGGGAAAAAAGCAAGTGGAGGTCCAGGATTCTTGTAAAAACTGCTGAACAACTCTTCCATTTCTCTCGAGGGTCACCAGAATAGGCAGTTTTTCAACATTTGTGTTTCATGGCAAGCTAAGGAAATAGGAATGAGAAAAGTGAAAATTTATTAGCAAAGAGGCCTCTTTGTTCCCCCCTCACTATGTCCTCCATGAGCAACAGCACCAGGATTCTACTTTCTGCAGCAGGTCATTGTTATTGTCCCCAGTGACACACGGTAATGCAACACTTTCCAAAGAGCTCACTGGACACTGAGATTGTTGCTTCTTACTTTAATTTTGTTGTGTGCAGTGAGAGACAGTGCTGTGTGGTCTCCTTCTCACGCTGAAGGACCCACTGGATAATCAATGTACAGGCAGAATGAGTGACTGGCCCTAGAAATGCTGGGGTTCCCAGGTTACCAGTTATTCTGGAAAAGCAGTCCTTCTGCAGTGTATTTACTGACACCTCACGGAGGATTAAAAACTCAACAGTTAGTTGAGAGACAAGCTGCAACCATCTCCTCAATATCCAGTGTGGACATTCAACCTTGGCCAAACTCTTGACAAGTGAATTGTATTATTCACTGGGGCTGAACAAAGAAACAGTAAATCAAGTACAGACCTTGATTTACTACTTTTTCCATTGGAATTTGAGATGTGTAGTCCATTAAAATGTTAGATCTTTATAAATGGAAACACCAAGTACCATTGTATGTTTCAATACTTTCCCAAGCACCTTGAAAGTCATAATGATGTATTTGAGGAAATTATATGCAGGCACAGAACATAAATCCTATGAAATCTGATTTTCATATTCACATCTTTTTCTAAGAAGCCCATACTAGGCAGAACACAGACTGAATTAGTTCTTTGTATGTCCACAATCTGATATTGGAGAGTAATCCCTTCAGTTGGGACTGGGAATTACTAGAGTTAGGGTTCTGTAGCTCAGAATTTCTCTGAGCAAAGAAGAGTTGATTATCTGGAGGCAATAACTTTCCAAAAAGTTTGGCCAGATTCTCTGCTTCTTAAAAATTAGTAAGGGGGATCCCCCCACAGATTCTACTCAGGGATTCTATACAGCATCCTGAAAGATGCCAATATCTCATTTCTCTAGCAAAATCCAAGACAAGCTACATGCCCCCTTTCTCTTAACATCTTCAACACAGAAGTTCTAACCCTAGAACTTCCACCAAGAAGACCAGTGGCAATGTTTCTACACGTGATAGAGCAGGGGCCTGTGGCCTTAGCCCTCATGTTGTGAAGTTAATCTCTGTTGGAAACCTCAACTGAGTCAGTGCCTGCTACCTTGTCTAGTGGTATCAGTGAGAATCTTCCCACAGCCTCCTGTAGTGCTGACACTAGTGGTCAATTAACTGTCTGTCCCAGCTATGTGAAGTTCTGAGTATGCCCATGCTGCCTTGCTTAGTATTGTAGATTTTTACTAAGCAGTGCTGAGTTGGCTAATAACTCTCAGCCTGTGAGAGTTTATAGTCTAGGACACACGACCAGTGAAATAAAAGCTGGGGCTCTAACTCAGATCTGCCCTGTTTCTCAGTTACACTCTGAGCCCTTCTCACTGTATGGCCTTCAATTCTTGTCCTGTCTCTAGTTTTATATATTATTTAGTAAGGAGGACATCAAATCAACACAGAGCTGTTAAGTGTTGTGCATAATGAATACTAACCATAAATATTTGATCAGTGCTGCCTCCTGGTATTCACTGAGCTGTTAACTCACTACTCACTACTGGCTTATGTCAATTCACACATGCTACTGATCTTCAGCAGTGACTGTGCTACTGCTCATATCAGGCTGTGACCAATCATATTATGCAGAAATATGACTGAACTGGGTAGTTTGACACTTGAGATATCGTTATGGTCTCAGTGCTTATATTTTCCCAAAATTCATATGTTTAAACTTAACCCAAAATGAGTGGTGTGAGAAAGTGAGAGCCTAAGGCAGGTGATTAGGTCATGAGTGCAGGGTTCTCACGACTGGGGTTAGTGTTTTTATAAGGAGTGGAGAGAGACTCTTGGCCCTTTCTACTACGAGAGGATACTCTAAGAAGTCACTATTCAGGGATCAGGAAACAGGCCTTAATCAGCCAGAGAATCCTCTAAGAGCACCTTCCTCTTGCATTTCCCACCCTCAAGCACCACGAACAATCAATTTTCCAGGTGACATTTTGTTGCAGTAGCCCAAATGGACTAAGATAGATTTACAGAATGTGGCATTATTTTGGGTTTTAAAATTTCCCTGGTAATTAAGAGCTTAGGACCTAGAAGACAACATGGCACAGCAGAAAGGCACTAGAGGAGGCAGGGTCAGGATACCTGCTGCTACGAGTTTACTGTTAAGACCTTGGATTCTAAAGTTGCTCCCAGTACTGAGAAGAGACAGCCAGCTGCCCTTCCCTCCCCCACAAATGTGGGTCTGTGCAAAGCAGGGCAGATAAATGCTCTTTTCTGTGAGAAATGTCATCTGAGGATGCTGAGGTGTGGGCAGTGCCCTTGCTCGCTGACTCACCACTCGTGGCAAGCTGTCAAAGCCCTGCACACTGCAACACTGTGCTCTTTGGGGCAGGGAAAGTGAGTGGGGCTGCCTCTGTGGCAGAAATACACTTTCCTAATGGCTGGGACTGTGCCAACCCCACAGCTCAGGAAGGAACTACACTTCCTTAAGCCAGGGTAATGGGAGCTGGGGGGAGGAGTGCTGTGCAGGGAGGAATGGGAACATTTTCCATCTGTTCAGTAGAGGACAAGTACCCATGTGTCTTGAGGGCAGGGCTGTACAAAAATGATGAATTTATTTTGTACCTGAGATATTGCAGAGATCCTGGGAAAAGTTAGAAAAATCCTTTGCTCTTATAATCTGGAAGAGTGTGCCATATTTTCCAAGTGGGGCTAGGTGTCCTTATTTACCTGGAAGTTCAGAGCAACTGTCATCTGGAATTACTGTTTTCTGCTCAGGGCTCTACCAGGTGCTATGTGCCCCCACATGTAAACACAGCCCACTCTTTGTGAGTCAAAAAAACCCATGCTCATCTAGAGGGTGGAAGGCTTGGGTTCTATCTCTGAGCTCTCTACTTTCCAGCAGGCCTGGCTGGGGCTTTGCCAATAAGATGACATCGTCATGATAAGCCTACATAAGTGGGGCTAAACCAGCAGTCCTTGTCTCTGGGAATATTGTTATGCCTTATCTAAAGGGGTCATTCTGCTCCATAGGAACACTACCAATGCTGGCAATTCAGAAGCACATATCCTAATTTTAGAAAACTTCAAGTCTGGCCCTGACCCTGTCTCATACTCCCTCACACACACTAACCAGTTCCAGCAGTCTCCTCCAGGTAGCACCTATAGGACGGAAAACTGAATCAAATGCAAATTGCTGCTAGGTATGGATTCTTTCATTAGTCAAAACCAGGGATCCTTTTGTGTCTGATGACCTCCTAAGTTTCTATGCTGACAGTTCCTGTTTCAAGGACTGCTTTTTGTTTAGGTGGTTTTACCTCTTAGATGACTCTCCTATCTCACTTTCCTTTTGAGTTTAAAAAGCATAAAATCTTCATTTCCATTCCTTCTCTGGGGCCATGGTGAGAATCCTCAGTTACTCGTAACAATTCTGTAGCCCCTTTATAGAGTCCATTCTGTTACTGAACAGGGCAGGTTCAGCAGAAACTATTTTTATGGAAATAACTACAAATAATCATAATTCAAATTTATGTATATTGCATACTGTGCTAAAAGCTTCAAAGCTGTATTGAAACATGATTTTAACTACTGTGCCATATTGCTTCACAATCACCTAGCAAACTTGGTCATAATATCAGGGAAATGGTTGCTAGGGCCAAGAATTCAGGCCATCTGGTTAGATTATCCATTTGGGTGTTTGTACAACCTCCTCTGAGAGCGACGCCTACATGAATGACATCCAGGTATTGTCTGCACCACCTTAGGAAGAATGACTTCACAGTCTTTCCATGTAACCTGGCTGATGGTTTAATCATTAACCTAAACTCCCATTTTTGCAGAATTTTATCAGTCTGTTCTATTCTGGGTGGGAAGGCTTGAAACATAATTGCTTGCATTATCACCATTGCCAGACTTGAAGACAGTTATGAAGTTCTTCCCTTTTGCTTTCTCTTCCACAACTCAACATTTTAAAATGTTTTCTAGATTTCCATTGCCTGCCTTCCTCTTAAATCATCTGAGTTGCTTTTGTTATAAATGAAGGTGGGCTAGGGTTCTGGCTTTTCCAGTTCAACATTCCTCCATAGACAAAGGTGGAGAAGGGATAGAGGACTACAGAAACCTTCAATTTGAGTTCACCCTCTCTACAACAACAGTAGCAATCTCAGACCCAGGGGCTCTAGAAGGGCTTCCAGCATTTTCAGATTGATCTTCCCAGGTTTCTCAAAGGAATTCCAGATGGGCCCCACAGATAGCAATGAAGTAAGATGGAGATCCAGTGATAAACACAGACTATCTGTGCAAAACAGATGTAGGGAGTAAAGGCAGGAAGCATTTGCTGGGATCCAGGTCCCCATTTGGGCCTGAGTGTGAGCCCTGGGAGATGCCACCATGGCTCAGTTTGGAATATTTTTCTTGTTGCTTGGTTAGTTTTGCATTCTTGTTTTTTCAGCAGAAGTGGGGCTTTTTGTAGAAGCAAAATACATGTATACATTTTGCCCCAAAGGTCACCTGAAAAGGTCATCTGAAAGTCCAGATCATGAGTCTGACAGGTTAATAGGTCATCAGCAGAAGTTGCTTCTGGGAACTGTAATTTGAGTCACTAGTCAGAAAAGCATTGCCCTTTGATCTGACACAAAAGGACAGTAATAAATCCTGTTTATCACCTGACCAACAACAGGGCCTCTCTTTCTTTTGGTTTGTGACTGCCTCAGATAGTGGCTGCTAGTAAAAACTCCACCTTTCCCTTCTAAAAGGCATAGCTGTTAGTGAGAGTGTTGAGTGTGCAGGGTGTGGGTCCAGTCATGCGGAAAACACCATTCTTTGGACAGAGAGGCAGTGAGACTCTTGCTGGCAGGACTGTGTCAGTCTGCTCAGGCTTAGGCTCAAGCTCAAAGCTGAGGTCCTGAAATAAATAATACCTAGCTCCTGTTGAGGGGAAACCAGCATGGAGACCAGAGCTTGTTTTGTGCTGGTGAAGAGATAGAAACACAGGATGTCAGATGCAGGGTAGGATAGAGATAGGATGGCAAAGTAAGTCAAGAAGCCCAAGTCTGCCATGAATTCTTCTAAACTTCAGCCAAAAGTGGGGATATTATCTGAAACCTGAGCTAATTTTTCTCTTGTCTTGTACCCTGAAACTTGAGTCCTGAACTTCCGGGCAGGAATTAAAGATGGTCTACATTTCCTAAGGCTTCCAGGTCAAAATGAGAGACAGAGTGAAGCACATCAGAAAGGAGACAATCAAAGAGCCAGATACTACAAGAAGATATTTTTCATAACTTGAGTACTTAAAAAGTTTTGGATACTCCAATTTCTAAAAACTCAGGGCTGATGCCCCTGTCTTCACTTTGGCCCACCTTATGTGCAGTTTCTGCAAACTGCTGGGCACTGTTCTTCATGTCTTCTGTTTTCTCTTCTGCTCGGCCTAACCGCTCTCCACGCTCATTCAAGGCCTGGCTTGCCTTTTGTACAGCACTGGTCACACTGTCAGCAGCTGAATGGAGGATGCTGTTTCCTGGAAGGAGAGGGAGGGCATTAGAAGCTGGCTCAGCTACAGTAAGCAGATTCTACACTATGATAAGGCCTCAGGTTTGAGGAGAAAAGTCAACATTTCTTGTGGTTCTAACTAACTCACTTGTAGGAAGAATCCACACAGATAGAATCCAGGACCTGGGCAAAGCCTGGATGGTTTTTGCATGCCTATCTATCCTGGCTCAAAAAAGATGGATCCCATATGGATTGATGACTTGGCTTTCAAAGGTAAATGAGAACCATGTCAAGTTGATAAAATTAGGCAAGTTCAATGAGAAACATCTGGATCTAATGTGCATTTCCTCTTGACTTGCAATATAGGTGAAAAATCCCAGGAAAACTAGGCCCGTTGCATTTTCCCTGATATAATACTCTATGTTCCTCTCAGTTTTTCCTTTTCATTTTATCACTTCACCCAGTACATGTATGGGTGTATGGCTTGTAAGAGCTATGAATCAGATTCAAAGTTCAAAACAGTTGTGTTAGCTCCCTTCTTTGAATCCTGTCCCATAGCTCAGACTGTTGGTTCTCTTTGCCTCTGATCCCTAGTGTATGAGATTTGCATATAATTAGCAAGCAGAAAACCACTACAGAAACTGGTCCTAGAAGTAATTTGGCATTCCTAAGTTCAGGAGTGATGATATGAGGAATCTGAAAACCATCATGTTTCCAAGGGCCATGCATTTCTAACATCCTATTTCCTAAGTTTTGGGTGTAAAAACTTAGTGGTGAAAAACGTGTAGGGTACATAGCCCACTGAGAACTAGCAGCTTGCAAAATGGCAACCAAAGGAAATTTATAGCTGTATTTGTGAACAATGAGTGGAAGATATTTAATGACATTGTATGCAATAGCTTAATGTATTTCTGTAAGTTTATTGTACCATTTAACTTTGTACATACGATGGATACATCTAGCCACAGATAGTTTTTAATAGAAACATAATTCCCACTGGCCTCAACTGCAAAGGCTTTCTAATTTCTTCTCTGTGGGAACAGTCTGTGGTTTGTGGAAAAGGATCTCAGGCATAGAGAGTACCTGGTCCAGAGAAAGCATTTAGTAAATTATTTTCCAGTTTTCTTCTTATGGAGTAGATTTCAAGGGCTTTAACCATATATGAAAGGAGAGAGAATGCAGTTGACTTAGTGATACCAGTTGTAGCAAGTATCCTATGAACCAAGATAAAAATAATTCAATGCACATGAATAACAAGCATAGGAAACTGAGCACCAGGGAAATCTAGTAAAACATGAGGGCAGGAAATGGTGGGTCTGGAACTTCAGAACAGATTTAGAACTCCTGGTTCCTTTTGTTTCACAACATACTTATGACTATGATTTTAGCCTGGTATCACTGGCTAACATTTATATAGCATTTGTAATCATAAAGCATTCTTTTTTTAACTAAATATTTTTTTTTAATGAAGAAGGGAGAGATTGAGATAAAAGAGGACATAACAACATAACAATACAGGTCAAAGCATGACAGTTTCAGCAACCTAGTGCTTCACCACCAAATAGCCCAACTTAATAGTAGCTACCATAGTGTCTTTTTCCTTCAAATATTTGAGTATAACTTCATATACTATACCTTCAAATATATCGACTCAGTGTAAAACCATTCAAATGGATGAAAGCATTGTAGGGTATTTAGAACCAGTTAACAGAAAACGAACAATGGTTTCTATATTATCTCTTTGCATATAACAATTTTTGTTTATACTATCACATATAATCCAGCAAGATACATCATGATAAAACCAATGAAGACAGAAGAGCCATAGTTTGGTGGCACTTCAAAACAAGATGATAGTAAATCAGCACTAGATATTATGATGACTTATTTTCTTCAAAATAGCTGTTCATTTCATCACAGGCAATAATATCAAGCAGCCCAGAATAAAGCCATTCCAATTAATAAGTGAAAACTTTATAAGGTTTCAAGGCCACATAATGGGGAATCATGATTACCACATACTTTTATATATTTGAATCATTACTTACATTAGGGAAACTATTCAGTATTCACACATGTGAGATTGATTTATTTCACTTATGAGTATGGTCTCAAGCTGTGCCCATTTATTGATAAATATCTCAATGTGATCCTTCTTTATAGCTGAGTAATACTCCAGTGTATACAAATATCACAACTTTTTTATCCATTCGTCAGTTGATGGACACTTGGGTTGTTTCCAAGATCTGGCGATTGTGCTGCTATAAACATAGGTGTACATATATCACTGTGGTATGATGCTTTCAGTTCTTCTGGGAATATGCTTACAAGTGGAATAGCTGGAACAAATGGGACTTCCAATCCCAGCTTTTGAGAAATCTCCAGACTGACCTCCATAAAGGTTGTACCAGTCTACACTTCCACCAACAGTGTAAGACAGGCTCTCCAGCGTTTGTTGTTGTTGGTTTTCTTGATCCTGGCCATTCTTTCAGGAGTGAGATGCAATCTCAGTGTGGTTTTAACTTGCATTTCTCTAATGACCAATGATGATGAACATTTTTTCATGTATTTATTTGCCATTTGTATTTCTTCATCTGAGAAGTGCGTATTCATCTCAGTTGCCCATTTTTGGATTGGATCTTTGAATTTTGGGGCTCTGAGTTTTTTTTAATTCTTTATATGTTTGAGACAAAAGTCTCTTCTCTGAGAGGGACTTAACTAAAATCTTTTCTCAGTTTGTGGGTTTTCTTTTCACTATGCTGGAGATTTCTTTTGACATGCAGAAACTTTTTAATAAGAGGTCGTCCCAGTTACTGATTCTGGGAAGTATTTCCCGTGCAGTTTGAGTCCTGTTCATGAATTCTCTACCTACCCCTATGTCTTCAAGATTTCTACCAAATTTGTCTTCCAATAGATTTAGTGTTTCTGTTTTAATATTCAGATCTTTGATCTACTTAGATTTTAATTTAGTACATGGTGATAGGCATGGGTCTAGCTTTAGTTTTCGGCAAATGGAGAGCCAGTTTTTCCAGCACTTTATTAAAGAGACTGTCGTTCTTGCAGTGAACCTGCTTGGCTCCTTTATCAAAGATAAGGTGGTTGAGTGTATTTGTAGTTGTGGTTGTACCTTCTAATCTATTCCATTGATCTTCGGCTCTGTTTTGATTTCAATACCATGTTGATTTTACTACTACTATAACTTCAAGTCAGGGATTGTGATGCCTCCTGCCTTGCCTTTGCTGCTTAGAATTGCCTTTGCTATTCTAGGTCTCTTCTGGTTCCAGATGAATTTTAGGAGTAATTTCTCTAGATCTATGAGGTATGTTGATGGTATTTTTATTGGGATTGCATTGAATCTGTACAACAGTTTTGGGAGAATGGCCATTTTCTCAATGTTTGTTCTTCCTATCCATGAGCAAGGGATGTCTTTCCATTTTCTGAGATCATCTTCAATTTCTTTTTTCAGTGTATTATAATTTTCCCTGTATAGGTCTTTCACTTCCTTTGTAAGAGTAATTCCTAAATATTGCATTTTTTTTGCTTGCTAGTGTGAAGAGTGTGGTTTCTCTTATTTCCCTCTCTGTGACTTTGTTATTAGTGTATAGGAATGCTATTGATTTCTGAGTATTGATTTTGTATTCAGCTACATTACTGAATTTATTTATTATATCTAAGAGTCTTTCAATGGAGTTTAGGGTGTCTTCTATATAGAATACCATGTCATCTGCAAACAATGATAATTTAACTTCTTTTCCTATCTTTACCCCTTTTATTCTCTCTCTTGTCTAATTGCTCTAGCTAATACTTCCAGTACTATATTAAATAGGAGTGGTGATAAAGGACATCCTTGTCTTGTGCCTGATTTTAAAGTAAAGGCTTTCAATTTTTGGCCATTTAGTATGATGCTGGCTGTTGGTTTGTCATAAATGGCCTTTATTATATTGAGGTAAAGACCATCTACACCAATTTTCTGTAAAGTTCTTATCATGAATGAATATTGGACCTTATTGAAAGCTTTTTCTGCATCTATAGAAATGATCCTGTGATTCTTACTTTTGGCTTTATTGATATGGTGGATTACATTTATTGATTTACATATGTTAAAATATCCCTGCATTCCTGGGATGAATCCCACTTGGTCATGGTGTATAATCTTCTTGATGATTTGCTGCATCCTATTTGCCAATATTTTATTGAGGATTTTTGCATCTGTGTTCATTAGGGAGATCGCTCTATAGTTCTCTTTTTTAGTTGGGTCTTTCTCAGGTTTTGGTACTAGAGTAATATTTGCTTCCAGGAATGACTTAGGAAGGATTGCTTCCCTTTCAATTTCATTGAATAGTTTGAGGAGTGTCAGCATTAGGTCTTCATTGTATTTCTTGTAGAATTCTTCAGTGAATCCATCTGGGCCTGGGCTCTTCTTTGTAGGTAAGGACTTAATTACATTTTCAATTTCATTAACAGCGATTGGGTTATTCAGCAGTTTTATATCCTCTGGATCTAGCTTTGGTACTTCATATGTTTCTAGGAATCTGTCTATTTCTTCTGTGTTATCAAATCTTTGAGAGTAGAGGTTTTCGAAATAGGTGTTGATGATCTTTTGTATTTCTGTAGAGTCTGTAGTGATTTCAACTTTTTCATTTCTTATTGCATGAATTTGAGCTTTTCCTTCCCTTTTTCTTAATAAGGTTGGCTAGGGGCTTATCGATTTTATTTATTCTTCAAAGAACCAACTCTTTGATTCGTTGATTCTTGAATTGTCTTCTTAGTCTCTATTGCATTGATTTCTGTTCTGATTTTCATAATTTCCTCTCTTATTTTGGTTTTGGGCTTGGCTTGCTCCTCTTTTTCTAGCTGTTTGAAGTGTAGCATCAGGTTATTTATTTGTATTTGTTCTGTTTTCCTGATGTGGGAACTCAGTGCAATAAATTTTCCTCTGAGGACTGCTTTCATTGCATCCCACAGATTCCGGTAAGTTGTATCTGCATTTTCATTTTCTTGTAGGTATTGTTTAATTTCTTCTTTAAT